TAATAGTTTCACTGCCCCCCAAATCCTCTATGTGTCTCGTATTCATTCCTGCTTTCTCCGACCCCTAGCAACCACTGATCTTTTATTGTCTCCATAAGTTTTGCCTTTTCCACAGTGTCCTGTAGTTGTACTCATGCAATGCATAGCTTTTTAGATTGGCTTCTTCACTTAGTAATATGCATTTAAGTTTCCTCTGTGTCTTTTCATGCTTTGATAGCTCATTTCTTTTTAGTGTTGAATAATATTCTGTTATCTAGATGTACCACCATTTATTTATCCTTTTGCCTACTAGAATACATCTTAGTTGCTTCCAAGTTTTGTAAATTGTTAGTAAAGCTGCTACGAACTTCTGTGTGCAGGTTTTGGGGTAGACATCCTCTTGTTTTTGTTTATTTATTTTTATTGAGGTAGAGTTGACATACAATATTACATTGTATGGTTTCAGGTGTATACCATAGTGATTCAAAAATTATGTATTATGAAATGGTCAACATGATAACTGTAGTTACCATCTGTCACCATAGTTATTATAACATTATTGACTATATTTCCTGTGCTGTACTTTTCATCCTCTTTTATCTTTATCTATTTATTGTGGAAATAATTTTGCAGTATATACATATATCAAATCATTATGTCGTATGCCTTAAACTAATACAATGTTATATGTCAGTTATATCTAAATAAAACTGTGGTGGGGGAAAGAATTATTTCATTTAATTTTCAAAGGAAGGATAGAACCGTAAGTCCATGGTGGTGGTGTTTTTAATAAATTAAGCTATACTTGGCTTCTCAACCAATCCTTATTTACTAAAAAGAATTCAAAAAGGAGTGGGAGTGGGATTTTGTTGTTGTTGTTGAGATTTTGTTTGACAGAGAGAGACATAGCAAGAGAGGGAAAACAAGCAGAGGGAGTGGGAGAGGGAGAAGCAGGCTTCCTGCCAAGCAGGGACCTGGATGCGAGGCTCAACCCCAGGACCCTGGGATCATGACCTGAGTCAAAGACAGACGCCCAACGACTGAGCCACGCAGGTGCCCCAGGAGTGGGTTTTTAAAAAACATATTAAAAAAAAAATTTGTCGGGACACCTGGGTGGCTCAATCACTTAAGCATCTGCCTTCAGCTCAGGTCATGATCCTGGGGTCTTGGGATTGAGCCCCATGTCAGGCTCCCTGCTCCGCAGGAAGCCTGCTTCTCCCTCTCCCTCTGCCTGCTGCTCCCCCTGCTTGTGCTCTCTCTCTGTGCAATAAATAAATAAAATAAAATAAAAAAGGAATTGCTTTCATATACATATTAAAAAATTTGCCTACTTACCATTTACTTGTTCCCTTCTCTACGTGTTCAGATCCTATCTCTTTTTTTAAAAAAGGTTTTATTGACTTATTTGAGAGAGAGAGAAAGAGAGCATGGGGGAAGGGTAGAGCGAGAGGGAGAAGCAGGTTCCCAGCTGAGCAGGAAGCCAGAGGAAGGCCCCGATCCCAGGACCCTGAGATCATGACCTGAGTGAAACACAGATATTTAACCAATTGAGCCACCCAGATGCCCCCAGATCCTATCTCTTTTTGAAAATCCAACTAAAATAAGAAATTCTACTTTTATCAATATAAATCATATTGTGATCCTCACCATGTGTATTATTTGCTGTTTAGTATGTGACTTTGCTGATAAAAAATCATCTTAACAATTGTTGGACTTATAAATCCAGGCAAAATAAGAGTATATTAACCATAAGCATTGTACAGATTTCCCAAGTAAAAAAATGTTGAAAACTCAAATAGAAAAGACTCCCTTGAATAAAACAGGAACAACCAGAACTCATATTTTGCTGAGGGGACCATGGATTGGTACAACCACTTGCAAAACCAGTTTCACAGTATCTAGAAAAGAGGCATGCTTTACAACCTAGCAGTTGCACTCCTAGATATCACAGTAGAGTAATTCTTGTACATATGTACATATCCAAGAATGTTCATAATGTCATGCATGGTTCATAATAGCCAAAAATTATAAACAATCCCAATTTCCATTAACAATAGAATAAGTGATAACGGGGCACCTGGGTGGCTCAGTGGGTTAAAGCCTCTGCCTTTGGCTTGGGTCATGATCCCAGGGTCCTGGGATCGAGCCCCACATCGGGCTCTCTGCTCCGCGGGGAGCCTGCTTCCCCCTCTCTCTCTGCCTGCCTCTCTGCCTACTTGTGATCTCTGTCTGTTAAATAAATAAATAAATAAATCTAAAAAAATCCCCAAAACAAAACAATTAAAAAAAAAAAGAATGAGTGATAACTATATTCACACAATAAAAACAAGTGATCTATACCACTATATAACATGGTTGAATCTAAAAATAAATGTTGATTGAAAGAAGGCAGGGGGCAGCTGGGTGGCTCAGTGGGTTAAGCCTCTGTCTTCAGCTCAGTTCATGAAATTAGGGTCCTGGGATCGAGCCTGGCATTGGGCTCTGCTCAGCAGGGAGCCTGCTTCCCCCTCTCTCTCAGCCTGCCGCTCTGCCTACTTGTGATCTCTCTCTCTCTGCCAAGTAAATAAATAAAATCTTAAAAAAAAAAAAAAAAGAAAGAAGGCAGAAACAAAATACATAATTTACGATTCTATTTGGGTAGTTCAAAAGCAAGCAAAATAAACCATAGCATTTAGGGATGTGTACTTAGAGGATAAAAGCAAGGAAATATTTATTATAACAAGCTAATCAGTAGTTACTTCTTGAGGAAAGGGATAGTGTTAGGGAAGGGAGACAGGCAGGGCTTCTAAAGACATTTATAAAGTCTCTTTTTTTGTGGTTACGTGAGCATTTGCTTTATGATTTATTAATTTGTGTATTATGTACTTTTGTATGTTATCGTTCTACCAAAAAAAAATTTTTTAAGAAAAAAACCAAAGGTTTTTTTTATTGCTTTTTATTTTTAAAACATCACCAGGTGGACCTTGGTGTTTATATTGTATGGTTGTTACTCAGTCTGAAAATAAACATTGGAAGTAATAGCAACAGTGTAATGAAGCCATAGCATTCACAAGATTCTCAAATGGTATAATATAAAACCTGTCATAAAAATTAGTAAAAAACACAAGGTAGAAAACATTTTTAATACTGGTACAATGGCAATAGCAGCTTTATAAATGTTTATATATAGGATTTCTATAGCATTTTTAAATGTGCCTTTATTCCACAAGAATGATCAAATCATCAAATCATTTAAATTAAATTGAGACAGTACATGGTGGTTTATTAATATAAGCATTGTAAGTGCTCCATAAAACATCATTACAAATACTCAAATGTTTTGTTCTCAGAGATCATTCCTTTTATTCTTATATAATATAAATGAGCTAGCAGGCTTTGTTTTGTTTTGTTTTAAATTAGAAGCAGGTATGTTTCTTAACTTTATTACCTGTTTAATTTTCATTCATAAATGTGTCTATAGACATAAATTTGGGTCTCATGAGAACAAAACATGGTCCCCAGGTCTGCTTTCCAGTCTGGTGACTTTCCACAACACTCTATTTGGTATCTCAAAGCAGTATTTGTCTGTGGAAATATAGGCATTTCTGGGAAATGACTGAAATATCTTTTGTAGCCTAGGCTAAAATAGTATCACCCCTGTAGCTGCTTCCTGTCAGGCTAGGAAGTTCAGTAAAGATCTGAAACACCTTGTTTCCCATCCACAAGCAGCTGCTGTCCTTATTCTTGGAACTGCAGGGAATCAAAGCTAATCCTGCACTTTTAGTCACAGGAACTCACCCTGATGAGAGTTTCCCTTCCTCTGTGATACTTAACATAATAGTAATGGGGATCCTGGCTGAAGCTATAATTGTGTCCACTGCTAAGTAGACATGTCTGACAAGCTGGGGGCTCCCAGAAATACTTGGCAACTTTGTAGGGGACTGACCTATAGGATGACCAGATATAATAAAGAATGCCCTGTGAAAGCTGAATTTCAGATAAATGGTGAATAATTTTTTCAGTAATATAGCTCCCATGTAATATTTGGGACATACTAAAACAATAACAACAAAAAAATCCCCTACCCATTGTTTAATAGGATGTATTTATATTTAAAAGTTTTTTGTTTTTTAATTCAAATTTGGCTGTCGTATATTTACAATTGCCAAATCTGGCTACCCTGGACTGGCAGGAGAGAACAAAAATCCAGTGAGGTTTGTATTATTACTATTACTGAAGATACAGGCAGTTGAGAACAGGAATTAGGTCTCACAGAAGATCTGCTATGGACTTCAGATAATCCTTGGCAAGCCACTCTGGAAAATACATGGTTCATGTTGAGATCCTCATAAAACTTATAATTAGCTTCATGAATGTGGATAGAAAATGTCAAAGAAAGGAATATCTCAGACTTCAGCGATCTAGATATGACTACCTAAAGATCCTTTCTAGCTGCTAGAAATGGTACATTCTCATTTTTAAGGTTATATTGGATATTTTGCTTCAAATCCATTTGGAAAATAATTGGGTTGGGGTGGGGGACAGTCTTACCTCCTAACTGTTTACAGTAAACAGAAATCAAATCTAGAGGATCTTTTTTACTGATCAAGTCTGTAGCGCCTACTGAAGAATGCATTAGCTTTATAGGCTGAAATACTTTTCTTTTTAATCACCTGAGAATACGCAAGAAGAATGGGAACTGGGTTATTTCATTTTTTTTTTTAAGGAATCAGGTTATTTTCTTAACGTCAAAACTGTACCTACTGAGTATAAACTTGTTATCTAGTTAAATTTGAACAACCTCTCTAATCTAAAATGGGTAATTCCCAGATTAACATCACTTTAGGGACTGCATTTTCCCATCTGCTCTCTTATTGATCATGCAAACTAAAAAAATACCCAAATACTCACTTTATATCACAGTATGTATGGGGGCTGTGTACATACTTTAATTCTTCAAATGGAATTATATATTAGTATAATTATTTATATATACCCTACTACATTTAAAAAAAAAGGATTGGGGTAATTTTATCTGTGTGTTTTATGGATCATCATGTGGCATCAGGCAGAGTTAGCATCAGTTTTGTTCATCAAAGCTGCTTGTAGAAAGTGGCAGAGTTTGAGTTGGGCTTCTAGGGTGAGCCATCTATGGAAAAAAAAAAAGGGTCCCAATTATAATATGAATTATGTGGCCAACAGAGATCTCCTTCCTCACTAACAGAAACCAGATTTTATGCAGGGCAGCAATGCACCAGACTCTAAAAACCACTTTTCCCAGTTTTTCTGACATAACCAGAAGTTCCTGGATAGCACCTGTATAAAGTGAGGGGTAGCTTAGCTAGCACACCCTTTTGTCCTTTGTCTTTCCCCTTATCTTGCCTAGAATGTGGGCACCAGGCTTCAGGAGGTGGAGGCATTCTTTACCATGAGGATAAAAGCCACACATTAAGGATGGAAGAGCAGTGAAGACATGGTGAAGCTGCTGTACCAGTTATGGCTGCCTACTTCCCAAGGAAATATGTAGGTAAGGAAAATAAGGTGCTGCTTTGTTAAGCCACAGTGGTCAGATTTTTGTTACCTAATGCAAAAGCAAATTTTGTTACCAAATGCAAAACCTAACTAATACAGTTGCTTCAGACTTAAAGGAAAAAGGAAACCTAAGTTCTGGGGGTGGTAGGGTGGGGAGGAGGACGAGTCATTTTATATCTAACAACAGTTTTTTTTTTTTTTTTTAAACTTCCTCCTACTAAGTGGATTTTCCGAACAGCTCATACAGCAGATACTTTTCTGGGGTTTTTTAAAAAATTTTTTTATTTTTATTTATTTACTTGACAGACAGAGATCACGAGTATGCTGAGAGGCAGGCAGAGAGAGAGGTGGAAACAGGCTCCCCGATGAGCAGAGAGCCGGATGCAGGGCTTGATCCCAGGACCCTGGGATCATGACCTGAGTCGAAGGCAGAGGCTTAACCCACTGAGCCACCCAGGCACCCCACCTTTCTGGGATTTTTGATGTTGTTCAATATGTATGCTTATTCTTTATCGCATTTTCATTTGTTTCCACATTACTCAACTCATTATAGTGATTATTGGGTAGGGCAGGGACACAAAAGAATCCCAGAGCTGAACAAAGAAAGGAAGGGGCTTAGTCCTTCAGTAAGGCCTCTGCCTTCTGCCCCTGTCCTTCATAATTTGTGGTATCACCAAGAAATGTGATCTGGGGGTAGGGTCCCTACTGGATGCTCCAAAAGGAGGAAATAGAAATGTGGCCACACCTTCTAAAACAGTGATTGGCATGAGGGAAACTAAACTGTCTGCAAAAGGCACTGATTCTTTTTTTTTTAATTTTTAAAATTTTTTTATTTTTTAAAAGATTTTGTTTATTCATTTGACAGACGGAGATCACAAGTAGGCAGAGAAGCAGGCAGAGAGAGAGGAGGAAGCAGGCTCCCCGCTGAGCAGAGAGCCCAATGCGGGGCTCGATCCCAGGATCCCGGGAACATGACCCGAGCTGAAGGCAGAGGCTTTAACCCACTGAGCCACCCAGGTGCCCCAAAGGCACTGATTCTTTTTTTTTTTTTTTTTAAAGATTTTATTTATTTATTCGACAGACAAGTAGGCAGAGAGGCAGGCAACGACAGAGAGAGGAGGAAGCAGGCTCCCTGCTGAGCAGAGAGCCCGACGCGGGGCTCGATCCCAGGACCCTGAGATCATGACCTGAGCCGAAGGCAGAGGCTTTAACCCACTGAGCCACCCAGGCGCCCCAAGGCACTGATTCTTAATGAGGAAACAAAGAGGGGACAGTGTTGGGTTGGCAAAGTGTTAGCAGTGAAGTCTGTGGTGTGTCTCTATCACCAGAGGGAAATGGAAATATAAGTTTTGTAGCCAAAGAGGCCAGAAGCCCTGTGTCCCAGCACTCTACTAGGAGTGGCAGACGGATGGCTACTCCCCATAGATCCAGTGAACGAGGTGAACAGGGAGATGACAGACAAACAGGATTTGGAAGAAATCACATCAGGTTTCACTGATATACTAGAATTTGGTGTATGGGTCATACATGTAGGTGACAAAGAAGAAAGCTGCCAAGACCTTTTCCTATCAACTGTGCATGATCTGATCCCTATCTGCGTCTTCATCGCTGTTTTTCACTGTCAGACTCGCTTTCTCTTACAGCTACTTAGGCTCCTTTTCAGTTTCTCAGTTAGGTCAGGTGCCCTCCGCGTCAACACCCTTATGTACGCTGTTCTTTTTGCTTGGAGCTCTTTCCTCCCAAACGTCCATGCTAGGCCCATCCCCTCATCCCATAGGCACCCTTCCCAGTTAATTCCTATTCATCCTTCAAGTCTCACTTCATCACCTCCTAAGGGATTCCTTAGGCTAGATAAAGTTCTTCTGTGGGTTCCCACAGAACCCCATTCCTTTCCTTTATAGTACTTACCTCAGTGTAGAATTATACAAATATGTGATTATTTGACTAATGTCTATTTTCTTCACTAGGCTGAACGCTCCAAGACAATAAAGTTAGGTTTGTTTTTGCTTACCACTGTATCCCTGGTACTCCAGCACAGTGCCTGGCATAGAGAAAGTGCTTAATAAATACTTATCTAAAGGAATTAATAAAGCCAGATATTCATGGTGAAAGTAGAGATGATAATGCTAGCTAGGTCACAGAATTTTATAGAGGCTAAATATGAAATTGTTTTGTAAAGCATTAGGTACCATTTAAAGATTATTATAAGAAAGATCCTTTAGATTGTATGATTCTAAATAAATGGATTTTGAAGAAAAGGAACAATTTTTTGTTTGTTTGTTTCCCCAAAAGGCTTACCTGAAACTTTCTCCTTAAGGCCCGAGTCATTACTGGAGTCAGCCCAGTTCCTGTGTCCATGTTTTCTTTATTGGTAAGTGGGGTTCCACCTGGGCTTCTGCAAAGGTATTGAAAAAATTAGCAGCTGTGTTTTATGCTAACTTTTCAAATGGATTCAGAAAGCATAAAGATAAGAGAGCATATTACCTCTCTACATCAACTTTTCTAAGTAGTTTCCGCAGGTCTATCTGGCTTTTACCAGGGGTACTGATGAAATAAAAATATAAAAGTTAGAGCCTGCCAGATTTTATCCCCTTTCCCAAAGCAAAGCAGGCGTTTCCATAGGCAATGTCCTAGAAAGTGGTTCTATTTGTTACATCAGCAGAGGGGCACCTGGCTGGCTCAGCCAGTGGAGTGTGTGACTCCTGATCTTACGGTTTTGAGTTCAAGCCATAGATGCTGATAAGAGCATAAGGTGATATAATTGCCCTAATAAGTAATACGTCTTGACTCAGTACTTATACATATAAGAATCCATCTGAGGGTAAGAGTCAGCTATGCACATGGACAAGGACGTTCACTGAGGAATTAGAAATAAAAAATCATAACCTAAATGTTTCAAAACAGGAGTTTATGAAATTTGCACATAATGAGCTATATATACTGAAGAAGTCAAAATGATGCTTTAAACTGATTTTTAATAAGATGGGGGAAAGTTCTTGACACATTAAACAGGAAAAGCCTTAACTGCATGTATGTTATGATTATACACAGGTACACACACACACAAAAGATTTCATCGATTCCAAGACATACAAGTTTTCCTATTTTATTATTTCTGAAATTGGGCTGCTTTAAAAATTCTTCTTTTTTTTTTCTTTTTTAAGTAATCTCTATCCCCAACATGGGACTCAAACTCATGACCCAGAGATCAGGAGTTGCATGTTCTTCCAACTGACTGAGCCAGGCACCTCTAAAAAAATTATTATTATTTTTTAAAGATTTTATTTATTTGACAGAGAGCACAAGCAGGGGGAATGGCAGAAGGAGAAGGAGAAGCAGGCTCCATGCTGAATAGGGAGCCCAATGTACCACTTGATCCCAGGACCTTGGGATCATGACCGGGGCCAAAGGCAGATGCTCAACCGACTGAGGCAAAAGGCGCGCCCCCCACCCCCCCCCCCCAACATTCTTGATATTATGTCTTTTCCTCCCAAATCCATTTATCTGTATTTTTATTTTTTTTTTTGTTTTTTTTTTTTTTTTTTTTTTTTAAGTAATCTCTGTGCCCAGCTTGGGGGTCAGGCTTACAACCTGAGACTGAGAGTTGCAGGCTCCACCAACTAAGCCAGCCAGGTGCCCCTGGGCCACCCCTGCCCACAAATCCACTAATAAATCATTGGTGTATCTTATAATAAATAGCATCATGAAATGGAAATAATAGAGTAGATGCCCACACAAAGACTAGAATGATAAACAACAGTATGTTAATAGTAGTTATCTTCAATCATACAGTTATTTGATTTTTTTTTCTTTTTCAAAAAAATTTTTTAAAGATTTTATTTATTTATTTGAGAGAGAGAGAGAGAGAGAGAGAGAGAGAATATGAACAGGGTCAGGGGCAAAGGGACAAGCAGGCTCCCCCCTGAGATCATGACCTGAGCCGAAAGCAGATGCTTAACTGACTGAACCACCCAGGCACCCCCGTTTTCTTCTGTAACTTTTCTGTGGATTTCCAGTCTTCTACAATGAGCATATACAACTTTTAAAGTTAGAGATAGGCAAAACAAAACAAAACAAAACATTATTTTAAGTAACAGTGGAGCATAACACAGTGTAGTTCCTTACATCAAGACATTTGTAACTCGAGTTGATAGTACTTTGGAGTTGGGCTTCAGGGTGACACGCTGCAGGTCAGAGACAGTAACTAGTGGATTCTGTGCCTTTGGTGACGGTATAAGCTTTAATCACAAAATGAGACAGTATCAAAAAACACTTAAAGATATCATTCAAAATATAAACATGCTGCAACAATGAATACTTGAAAGCTGAGTATGGGTAAGATATTATCTACTACTCAATTTTTATTGCAAAGCTTCCAAGTATGTCTCTACTTCTTTAGACTAATGGTTGGTAGATAAAACTGCCTAATTAAATAATTTTGGGATCTACACATTTTGTTAAGGATCCAAAACTACTCAGGTACCACATCGAATACTTACCTCAGAATGGCTTCTGTACATAAGACATAGGCTGATTTTCCAGAAAGGGACAGCCAGGTTAAAAGCTCAAAGATCATGTGTATGATCAGCTTACCTTCTTCCTTTCATCAAAACACTGTGTCTTCTTTAACTTCACAGTCAGTAGATCTTTAACTGTTATCTGCATGGGTCCATCTCTTTTCAATGGCCCAGCCTTAAAATACATGGAGAGGTTAGAATTCAAATTGTAACCAAGATATCTAGTCAAATGCAAATCCAAATCCAGTTTTTAAAGACTCACTTAAAAACTAACTCTTATTTACCCTAGGAACCTATCAAATTCTTTTAATTCAACCGAGAATGATCCTGTTTTCAGTACACATGGATGCTAATGCTACTGTAAAGTATTCATCAAAATGTAAAGCTTTGACAGTAAATAAGAGATGGGCTAGTTCTCTGCAACTATGCATCTTCCTCAGGATTTATGATAATAAGACTGGAGTTGAAGAAGTTCCTCAAATCAAAGTTAAGTTTTGCTTGAATTACCTAAAAGTTGACTCAGTTCCCATAGAACAAGAATGTATGGTCAGAGGGCTATGCATTATGGCAAATGTAATAATAGGCTCTGGATTTAACCCAGCCATTTTATTTATTATTATTATTATTATTTTTTTTTTACAGATTTTATTTATTTATTTGATATAGAGAGAGAGCACGAGTAGGTTGAGTAGCAGGCAGAGGGAGAGGGGAAGCAGACTCCCCACTGAGCAGAGAGTCGGATGTGGGTCTTTATCCCAGGACCCTGAGATCATGACCTGAACTGAAGGCAGAGGCTTAACCGACTGAGCCACCCAGGCACCCCTAAGCCAGCCATTTTAAACCAAATTTATCTGGAGTGAAAATTTAGCAGATTTTTAAACAGGGTCATGCTTATCTTAGTGATTCACAAATACTCCCTTAGTGGCTAAGTAATTAATGGAGGGTGGTCCTTCAGCTTCATGATATTATACTTTCAGATCCACCAACTCTTTTTATTCTGTTTTTACTCACTAAGCCACCTTCTGTTCTTAATTTGGTTTCCCAGGGAGGTTTTTCTTTCAGTTAAAAGATATTCTGAGAAGCCATTAGGAATATTCCAATCTACTGGCTTTCATTCGTTTATCCTTTAAAAAAAAAAAAATCACTTTTGTTTCTAAATCCAGTTCTACAGGCCCGAGTTTTTAAAAGCATAATCATTGACATAATTAAGAGATGGAATCAGAAAAAAACAAAACAAAACAAAACAAAACAGCTTTCCTCTTAAAGCCCTTAGCCTCGTCTCAAAAGGCCACCTTGTTTTACTATTCTGTTACACACTGACCAAAACACATCATTACTAGATTGTTTCCTACCTGCAGGGCTTTAGTGCGATCGGATTTTCTGAGCAGCACAGGTGCTGTGGGCGGCGGAGGTGGAGGCAGAGGAGGAGGTGGAGGGGGCGGGGGCGGCGGAGGAAGAAGAGCCGGAGGGTGGGCGGCTGGCTGTGGCAGTGTGGGAGGAAGTACTGCTCGAGATTCTCCAGGGGTGCTGAGCACGCGGGTGGGCACATTTGTGAGTTTACCACTTATGTGACAGGTTCGACCACAGTTTGGGCAGGAAGAATTTTCCAAGACAGTCTGTAAGAAAACATTACATTTGGCAAATGAGTAACAGATTAATTTGGTTCTTGCGGCTCAGAGTCATGGAGATAATACCTACCACGTATTGAATGCTTTCTCAGTATAGTATGTGGTTTTTAAAAAAAAAATTTCTCATTTATCACAAGCCCATTCATTCACCCATTCATTCATATATTTGTTTTGTGTGTGCAATATGCCAGGCAGTATGGGTATGATGTGAACCCTGTCTGTTACATCGTGGAGCAGACAGTCTGGCAAAGAAGACAGACATGAAACACAAACACACCCAGAACGAAACAAAGTAATGCTTCAGTGAAAACAGTGAGCTGTGCTGTGGGCATGAATAGGGAGAAACCTGGAGAATGACATTAAGCCATAATCTCAAGGATGGACTGCAATTTATCAGGTCTCAAGGGAGATAAGGTTTGGGGAGAGTTCCTGGCAGACGGAAAAATACTTAATGCAGCTAAAAATTGTCGTATATTTGGGGCGCCTGAGTGGCTTACTCCGTTAAGTGTCTGCCTTCTTCAGCTTAGGTCATGATCTCTGGGCTTTGGGATTGAGCCCTGAGTCAAGCTTCCTGATTCTCTCTCTCTCCCTCTGCCCCTCCCCACTACTTGTTCTCTATCTCAAATAAATAAAATCTTAAAAAAAAAAAAAAAAAAAAAAAGAATGTAGCATATTCAAGGACTGATAAAAAGGCCAAGGGGATGGCACATGAATGTTAGGGGCTGAATTGTGTCCCCCAACCCCTCAAATTCATATGTTGAAGCCCTAGCTGTAGTACACCAGGATGCCTTTGGAGATAGAAAAGAGGTGTTTAAATTAAAATGAGGCCATTAGAGTAGGCTCTCATCCAATTTGACTAGTGTCCTTATAAAAAGAAGAAATTTGAATATACAGGAGAAACATCAGGGATGTGTGTGCAGAGACAAGGAGATTTGAGGACACAGTGAGAAGACAAAGGAGAGAGGCCTAAGAAGAAACTAACTCTGTCAACACATTGATCTCAGACTTTCAGCCTCTAGAACTGTGGGAAAATAAATTTCTGTTAGATAAGCCACCTAGTCCATGCCACTTTATTATGGCAGCCCTGGGAAATGAAAAATAACCCTATGAAGTCAGATGGTGTATTAGTTTCCTATGGTTGTTTTATCAAATTGTCATAAATTTGGTGGCTTAAAACAATTGAAATTCATTTTTTTCAGTGCTGGAGGCTAGAAATCTAAAATCAAGATGACAGCATGGCTGTGCTACCTCCCAATGCTGTAGGGAAGAATCTGTTTCTTGTCTCTTCCTGTTTTTGGTAGCTATGGGCATTCCTGGCCTTGAGACTACATCACTCCAATCTCTACCTGTGCTCCCACTGCTCCTCCTCTCCTCTGTGTGTGCTCTGCTTTCTCCTTTATAAGGACATTTGTTATTGGATTTAGGGTCCACTCTGATAGTAGAGTATGATCTCTTCACTTCAAAATCCTTAACTTAAGGGGCACCTGGCAACTTTTGATCTTGGGGTCGTGAACTCAAGCCCCATGTTGGGTGTAGAGGTTACTTTAAAAAAAAAAATCTGTAACTTAATTACATGGGAGAAAACCCTTTCTCCAAATAAGGTCATATTTATAGGTTTCAGGGATTAGGACTTGGACATATCTTTTGGAGGCCATTGATTCAGCCCACCATAGATGGCATCATCATTTTTAGAAGAGGAAACTCAGGCCTAGAGGAGTAAGGTGATTTGCCTTTCTTCCTGTCTAATTCATCTTGAGGTACAAATTCTGGGACAAGGATTGTAATCCCAGAAGCTCCCCTGCAAACCAATAAGTGCAATGTTTATTTTCTTGAGTTTTAGACATTGAGAATAGGGGCTTGCTTAGGGGAGTTTGGAGACTCCCCTAAGGGATATATATGGCTTTGGATATATATGGCTTTTCCTACCTCTATCAGTCAAGAAAATAGAAATCATCCTGAGTATTTAAAAGAGGGTGAGAGTAAGGTGGGGAATTGGTTACATTGATGGTGAAAGAGATGAAAACACATAGGGAACATTGAGGCAACCCAGAGATTAGCAACAGGAAAAAGCCATGAATACCCTGAGGCTGGAGGGACAAAGGGAAGAGCATTATAACCTGATCTCTAGAGGTGGGTTAACCCAGAGAATCCAGGAACTTGACAGACTTACCCGGAGGGAGGTGGGGTGAGGGAGACAACAACCATCACTGGAGAAATTGCCCAAAGCAGAGAACAAAGGGGAAACACACTCCCTCCACACCCCTACCAGTCTCTCTTCAGTGTCTCCCATTAGCCAAGCACAACTGGAACCAGGTGACATGGAGCTTAGCACATATAGCCTGCATGGATTAGCCCCAGTGCAGTGCAGAGTCGAGCCTTGAAGCCTAAGGAATAGATCTGAGGGCAAAGAGGCCTAAGACTAGCACTTGCCTGTAGCCATTGCTCCTTCTGGTAAAAGCACGCTGGGATTCCTATAGGGGATAACCCCTTCCCTCCTTCCCTAATTCCAGATTTCTTTTCTTTTTTTTTCCTTTTTTTTTTTTTTAAGATTTTATTATTTATTTGATAGAGACACAGTGAGAGAGGGAACACAAGCAGGGGGAGTGGGAGAGGGAGAGGCAGGCTTCCCTCTGAGGAGGGAGCCTGATGCGGGGCTCGATCCCAGGACTCTAGGATCATGACCCGAACTGAAGGCAGACGCTTAAAGACTGAGCCACCCAGGTGTCCCCGTATTTCCTTTCTGTTTAACAATACCAACCTTCAGTGTTTCCTGGAGCTTGCATAATTCACTTTCCAAAATGCAAAACCGTTGTTTTAGACTGTGGAGTTCTCGGAGACAGAAACGGGATGGAAAGATGGTGTCTTTCAATACTTCTAAACTCTGAAATTAAAAAATAAACAAGCCTGAATTCTGTAAGCAGCATGATCAGGACAAGAAAAAAGGGAGAAGAAAGTGGTTTGATGTATGTTTTACAGAAACAGAGGCCTACGTGACCCCATAATTTCATCTTACCTGAGCTTAGCCTGAGTGTTGTGCTGACCTGAGCACACACACAGGTGAACACACATACCAAATATGCAGAAAAACCATATTGCTGAAGATGGGGTTGTCAAAGCCATACCTGGGCCATGCAGTTCTGGCACCAACTGTATATAGACCACACTCTATTTGTCCAAAGTTTTACGGTATCTTTGATATTAGGAAATCTAAAGTTCCAGGATGGTCTTAGCCAACTTCTGCTAAGGGAATTATCTGCTGAAGGAATAACCACTCTGTAGGAAAAACAAAACCAAACAAAAAACTCCTGAGTTGGAATAACAGCTTTATTTATTTATTTGTTATTACTATTATTAAAGATTTTATTTTTTTCATTTGACAGAGAGAACGAGAGCACAAGTAAACAGAGCGGCAGGCAGAGGGAGGGGGAGAAGCAGGCTTTCCACTGATCAGGGAGCTGGATGCGGGGCTTGAGCCCAGGACACCGGGATCATGACCTGAGCTGAAGGCAGATGCTTAACGACTGAGCCACCCAGGCGTCCCTAACAGCTCTACTTAAATAATAAGCTTGAGCATCCAACTCTAAGCTTGAGCATCCAACTTTTGGATTTGTCTCAGGTCATGATCTCATGGTCGTGAGATTGAGCCCCATATCTGGCTCTGCACTCAGTGGGAGTCTGTTTGGGATTCTCTCTCAACCTCTGCCCTTCCCCTCATTTGATCTCTCTTATTCTCTCAAATAAATACATCTTTAAAACATAAAATAACATGCTAGTTTTATAGTATGACTCAGGAGCAGAGACTACCTAAAGCCAAAATTTTCATTAAATTTTAGAGTTCCAAGATGCACTTATGCAATAATTTACTTTATAAATAAGTAGTAATAAATAAAATAAACAGTAAGTAAAGAGGCGTCAGGGATTCAGTAATGAACAACATGATAAAAACCATGCCCTCATTAAACTTACATGTCTTGGGACAAAGGTAATAAAGTCAATTAGTAACATATATGGATTGTTATATAGTGAATAAATACTATGAGGAAAAAGATAGAGCAAGAGAGAAATGTTGGATGGAGGTGAAATTTTAGCTAGGGAAGTCTCACTGAGAAGGTGACTTTTGAGGAAAAAAAAACCAAAACTCAAACAAAGAAAGAAGCTAGCAATACATGGGCACCTGGCTGGCTTAGTCAGTAGAACTTACAACTCTTGATTAATGGTCATGAGTTTAAGCCCCATGTTGAGCGTAGAGCCTACTTAAAAAAGGAAAAAATAAAGAAGCTAGCAATACAGATATCTGGGAGAAGAACATTTTAGGCATGGGTAATAATAAGTGCAAAGGCCCTGAGACAGCAGCTTGTCTGAGGTGTCTAGAGAACAACAAGGAGGCCAGGATGACTAAGATGGAGAAACTGAAGAGTAGGGGGATTAGGAGAGAATGTCAGAATCAGATCATATTGCTCTTGTGGGTCATACAAAGGATTTTATTTTATTTATTTATTTTTGTTTTAAAAAGTATTTTATTTATTTATCTGACAGAGAGATCACAAGTAGGCAGAGAGAGAGAGGGAAACAGGCTCCCCACTGAGCAGAGAGCAGGACGCAGGACTCGATCCCCGGACCCCGAGATCATGACCCAAGCCCAAGGCAGCGGCTTAACCTGCTGAGCCACCCAAGCGCCTGCCTCATACAAAGGATTTTAATTTTGACTCAGAGAAAGGAAGACATTGGAGAGTTTTTATTTATTTTTACATAATCTCTACACCCAACTCATGACCCTGAGATCAAGAGTCACACACTCTTCCAACTGAGCCAACCAGGTGCCCCAGGAAAGACATTGGAGAGTTTTAAGCAGAGGGGCAATATGACATGATTTTTACGAGGCTCACTCTGACTGTTGCTCAGAAATACACTGCAGAGGGGCAAAGGCAGAAGCAGGAACACCAGTTAAGGGCCATTTTCAATATTCAAGAGAGATAGAGAAGAGTTAAGGATAATATCATGGTTAATACTTTTTGAGGGCCAGTTTAGTTTAAAAAATTTTCTGTAAAGAGAGCTATAACAACAAAATGTATAATGTATGTCATTGTGAAACCCAGTATCCTAGGCTTCTGTTAACTCAGAGTCTCTTTCAGTAACACATTTAAACCTCCGTCCCAGAGAATAACTGACCAAGCTTTACCAAAGCTGAGATTTAAATTCCAGTTATATATTCCTCTTGCATCTCTTAGTTACCAGATTTATACAATTAAACTGACTAGGGAAAGAGAAAATAGTTACTGTGCATCTTCAGTACAATTTCTTATGATTTAAACTTCATTTAAACACTTAAAAAAAAAAGATTTTATTTATTTATTTGAAAGAGAGAGAGAAGGAATGGGGGGAGGGGCAGAGGGAGGGGGAGAAGCAGTCTCCCCCGCTGAGCAGGGGCTCAGGAGAGGACTCTGGGATCATGACCTGAGCTGAAGCCAGATGCTTAATCAACTGAGCCACCCAGGCGCCCCTAAACTCTTAAATAATGGTCACCACATAAAATTTAGAATGCTCGGTCAAAATTTAATTTCTGAAGAGGGATGAATAATTCTTTAGCGTAAGGATATTATAAATGTTGCGTGGAACAATATTTTAAAAATTTCATGTTTTATCAGAACTTTACATTTAATTGGGCATTCTGTATTTTTATTTGCTAAATCTGGTAACCCTATCCTTAAGGGATTTTTAATATTTTTTCTTCTTCACACTTATGCCTTACCTTTCTGGTGAGGGTGGCGGCGGAGGAGGTGTGATTAGCTTGGGCTGAAAGTGAGAGGCTTCTCTTTTTTTGAATAATCTTTTTGCTTTGGCTTTTGGCTTTCTTCTTCGTTGCTTGAACTTAGGCATGATTTCTGTAGAGAAAAATTTTTTTACATGTTTTTTAAATTTTAGAATAATACACACATACAGAAAATGCAGAAATCCTTAATTGTACAGTTCAGTGAATTATCAGAAAGTGAACACACCCTTGTAACCACCACTTTGGTTAGGAAATAGATCACTACCAGCATTCCAGAAGTCCTCTGAAGTGAAGAAGAATTTAAACCCAGATTTAAAGTATCTTTAGAGACTCGGCTTTGGCATTACATTGCTCTCTAATTTTGTTTTGCTTGCCTTGCTCTTCTTCATTAAGTCAAGTGTATTTCCATTTCTTATGAGAGAGAAAATGGCTAGAGTTGGGTTATGGTCAGTTATTAAAAGAAGTTTCTTTCCAGGAACATTTACTGAGCACCCACTGTGATAGGCGGAGTTGGTAATGGAAGAAACAAATTTAACCACTGAATATCCGTTTGCTTTTAGGCACCTTCATATACATTTTCTCAGTGAATCCTCACTACCTGGCAAGATTTTATCCCCAAGGAAGAGGATTTTTATTCCCATTTTTTACATTAAGAATAAACTGAGACATAGAAAGAGTATATGATTTGCCCAGTGTAATGCAGTAAATAAATAAGTCTCGGAAAACTGTGTTCTTTCTAACACTCCGTGGTGCAACAGTTGATTAAATGGGTGGTATACAATGTAATAGCAGTTACCCCAAATCTAAGACCCCCAAATGTTTCAAAACATTTATTTTAAAACACTATTTAGTGTATTTAGCTTTTAATCTGGATCCTTTTCTGAAGAACATTAAGTCAGAGCTAGTTTGATGTGAAGACGGGCTTTGCGGGTCGCCAGTTGCTGCTACCTGAGGAACAAAGATGTCCTTATTCAAGTAGAACTAAACACGGGCTCAAGGGCTGGGCCTCCCTGCCTTCAAACTTACATTTGAATAGGAACAATTGGCCTTTAAAATACAAATTCATTCCACTTTTGTTCACCCAGTACCCTTTCAATACTTAGTATGCAGCTCTAGGCTTGCCCAGCTCTCGGATTGCACTGGCTGAAAAACCTCCTTTTTTTTTTTTTTTTTTTTTTTTTACTGGCTGTGGGTTGCGAAAACTCCGGAGTGGCTAACTGCAGTTCCAAGCGCTTTGGTCTTGCAGAGGGCACCCCTAATGGCAATGGGCGACAGTGCAAATATCAACAGCCCTTCTAGGAGCAAAGGCTCTCGATAGCATCTTATTGAGCTGATGCCAGGTCTCAAACTAGCCGTTTTCCTTAGTTGTTCTTAGAGGCCTGGGAGATACAGCAAAAAATAGCTGACTTCCCTTGTATTCTATCACTTCTCCTTCCTGCTGAAATAATGAAAGAAGGCTAAACAGGGATTATTAAATACACAGGGTGTTTAAAGGACTCATTGATTTTTTTTTTTAGATTATTTATTTATTTATTTGACAGACAGAGATCACAAGTAGGCAGAGAGGCAGGCAGAGAGAGAGGAGGAAGCAGGCTCCCTGCTGAGCAGAGAGCCCGACGTGGGGCTCGATCCAAGGACCCTGAGATCATGACCTGAGCCGAAGGCAGAGGCTTAACCCACTGAGCCACCCAGGCGCCCCTGATTTTTTTTTTTTTTTAAACAAACTTAAAATAACACAAAACAACAATACTCTGAATGAAGATGTTTAGGAGAGCCTCAGAGGAAGTAAGCAATCTTGCAGTTGCCTAAAAAAAAAGATTAAACCTCATCACATCCATGCCCAGGACTTTCTATGGAGAGATGTCACTGAGAACCTCTATCTAAGGTCCAGAGTTCACTGGGTGAAATCCCCGGAATCTGAGACTTCCATGGTAACTTCCTCTTCTTGCCTCCATCTGCCCCTTGCAGCCCTCCCCCAATTCTGTTCCCTCTCTCCCTTTGATGTCTTTTGTTAGACATCAAACTGACACAGAGAACTGGTCTCCTGCCTCCTTTTTCCTATATTCACCAAGCACTCAGTTATAAAAATAGACTTCAGAAAGGAGCTGGACATTCTGGTTTAAACTTGGTAGATTGGCTCTATTCCTTTATCTCCACTCCAATAGTGTGCTGGGGTTGGCAACAACTGATACATTTTCAGGAAGTCTGTGAGTTAGTTGTGAAACACATCCACCATTAAAATTAAATTATATAAATTATATAATATATTACATATATTATATATAACATTATTACATTATAAAATATATATTATATATATTGATGCAAAGCTCATTACTTCCTAATGATTTTACTATTATTTATGCTGTTGAGGTTGTTTACATTATTGTATCTATATAGTGAAAATGCTATAAAATGCTAATTTCTTTCCAATTCCATATTCAGTGACTTCACATTGAAATCTTGAAATTGGCTATGATGGGAGTATTTACACCGTGGATATAACACCACAAATCAGGGCTTGATTCATTATGCTGTTGATTGTTAAGAGAGTGATAATGAAAATGTTAATAATGCAGGTTAGATTTAAAAGCAAATCTTGGGGGCATCTGGGTGGTTCAGTCAGTTAAGCATCTGCCTTTGGCTCAGGTCATGATCCTGGGGTTCTGGGTTGGGTCCTGGGGCCCTGTGACCAGCTCTCTGCTCATAGGGGAGACTCCTTCTCTCCCAACTCTTCCCTCCTGCTTGTGTTGGACTCTCTCTCTCTCTCAAATAAATAAATAAAATCCTTTTAAAAAGTGTATATCTTGTCTGTAGTTGTTACATTGTGAAAAGCTTAAAAAAATTGAGGAATATTCTGGTATGTAAAAATGATTATTATTATTATTTTTTAAGATTTTATTTATTTATTTGTCAGAGAGAGAGAGAGGGAGAGAGAGCAAGCACAGGCAGACAGAATGGCAGGCAGAGGCAGAGGGAGAAGCAGGCTCCCTGATGAGCAAGGAGCCCGATGTGGGACTCGATCCCAGGACGCTGGGATCATGACCTGAGCTGAAGGCAGCTGCTTAACCAACTGAGCCACCCAGGCGTCCCTAAAAATGATTATTTGAGTCATCAAAGAAGTTGCTTACATAATTGAAATGAAGTTCCAATATAAATCTTTTATGTTTCGCATTATCTTATTCCATAGAGTAAATGAAAAGATCAACTGACATTTCTATCAGGACTATACTTGTTTATAAATTGGAACCATAGCAGGACACCTGGGTGGCTCAGTCTGTTAAGCATTAAACTTTTGGTTTCAGCTCAGGTCATGATCTCTGGGTTGTGAGATTAAGCCCCACAAGGGCTCCACTCCACGCCCAGTTCAGAGTCTGCTTGAGATTCTCTTCCTTCTCCTCTGCCCCTCCCCTTTCTTGCTTTCTCTAAAATAAATAAATAAAACCTTAAAAAAAAAATTGGAACCATAGCTTGGCTACAGATACAAGAAGTCTGTAAAAATCAACAATAGTATTCTCTGAGAATCAACCATATATGAAATTTACAAGAACATTATAGGGGTGCCTGGCTGGCTCCGTCAGAGCATGTGATGCTTGATCTCAGGGTTGTGAGTTCAAACCCCATGTTGGGTGTAGAACTTACTTAAAAGAGAAGCATTATATATATATATTTTATTATTGTTTATAATAATTTTATTACCTGATATCAGTAAATTTATAATAAAATTATGCATATGTATCTATTAAACATTTATTAGCACACTATTGGTCCAATCCCTTCTGAAACATAACCAAAAAAGGCAGTAAAAGAGTGGTGAATATATTTCTCTTTCTTTTTAAGAAAAAAATTTTTTTTTTTTTAAGAAATCTCTACGCCCAAGTTGGGGTCGAACTTACAACCCCACGATCAAGAGTCACACATTCAACCGACTGAGCCAGCCAGGTGCCTTAAGGAGTGGTGAGCATAACATAATGTATAGAGTTGGAGAATAATATGTTGTACACCTGAAGCTAATGTAACTTTGTGTATCAACTCTACTTCAAATAAATTAAAAAAAAGGAGGGGTGCCTGGGTGGCTCAGTTGGTTAAGTATACAACTGTTGATCTCAGCTCAGGTCTTGATCTCAGGGTCATGAATTCAAGCCCTGCTTTGGGCTCTACACTGGGCATGGAGCCTACCCAAAAGAGAGAAAAAGAGAGAGAAGAAAGAAGAAAGAAAGAAAGATTGATGGATGGGAGGGAGGGAGGGGAAGAAAGAAAGGGGAAGGAAGGAAGGGAAAGGAAGAAAGGAAAGAAGGAAGAGTAAGGGCAGTAAAGGAATAAGAAAATCATAAACCCCTAAAACAAAGAATGGGAGCAGACTATGGGAGATGATGAATGTCGACTAAATTATGGAAAGTGGAAAGGAGATGGATGAGTTGGCAGAGCAGAAGAAAATGGAGCTTTGACTGCCTATGATAGGGAAGCCAACTGGAAGCAAGACAATTCTCAGAACTTTAGGTAAGAGTATTCTGGACTTGAAGGTACCTAGAACCTATAAAGTTTGAGGTGGGGGTTAAAATAGGATTAATTTAAATCTTTATAAAGATTGGATAGGCCTCTGGAGTCTGTCTTCCAGTTCTTGTAGCCAGGCAGCTCCTGGCATTTATGTCCTCTCCAGTAAAGGTGGATAGGTTTATTCTCTGGAGAAGTTGAACCATAGAGGTGCCGAATTGTGGACCATGAGGCATAGCAATAGCAGAGTCATGTGTCATCCATCATTCAGAAGATAGGGGATGATCCTGAACTGGAAAGTAAGACTTTTCAATCCCTTTCCTCAGCTCAGCTCCCAGAACAAAGGCCACCAGTTTTAATTCCCTGACTCAAATCCCTATACCTTTCATTTCCCCTTGAAGACTAGAAGATTCCTCTCCAGGGAAATTGGCTTGCCGGAGAAAAAGGACATATAGCTATTGACATTTAGGGTCTTCCCAAAATGGCCAAGTCCGTGATCATTCATCCACTCAGGTGTCCACAGGTTGATAATATCCACCTCCTGTACTTTAAGCTTCCAATTCTTTTTCCCCCTTTGGTGCTCTCCTCTGACTTATAATAGCCAAGGATCATCAGTTATTTTAGGAAAGTCTCTAACGTTAAAGACAGAGACCAAAATACACAGAGAGTAAAAAGAGGATTTCTATTTCTTAAGGAAATGTAAAGGATGTAGGAAGCAGATTGGGAACCTCGGTGGCTCAGTTAAGCATCCAACTTCAGCTCAGGTAATGATCTCAGGGTCCTGGAATCCAGTGCTGTTCAAACTCCCTACTTAGCAGGCACTCTGCTTGTTCCTCTCCTTTGGTCCCTCCCCTGCCCGGTGCATGCGCTCTTTCTCTCTCTCTCTCTCTCTCTCAAATAAATAAAATCTTAAAAAAAAAAAAATTAAAAAAAAACATAGGCACCTGGGTGGCTCAGTGGGTTAAGCCTCTGCCTTCGGCTCAGGTCATGATCTCAGGGTCCTGGGATCGCGCCCCACATCGGGCTTTCTGCTCATCAGGGAGCCTGTTTCCCCCCTTCTCTCTCTGCCTGCCTCTGGTCCTACTTGTGATCTCTGTCAAGTAAATAAATAAAATCTTTTTTTAAAAATGATTTTATTTATTTATTTGACAGACAAAGATCTTTTTTTTTTTTTTTTTTAAATTTTATTTATTTAGGGGCACCTGGGTGGCTCAGTGGGTTAAGCTTCTGCCCTTGGCTCAGATCATGATCCCGGGGTCCTGGAATCGAGCCCGCATTATGTTCTCTACTCAGCGGGGAGCCTGCTCCCCTTTCTCTCTCTCTGCCTGCCTCTCTGCCTACTGGTGATCTCTGTCTTTCAAAAAAATAAATAAAATCTTAAAAAAAAAAAAAGCACTAGATATTCTGGAGAGGATACCTCTCTGAAAGAATATATAGCAGTCTTCCTCGAGGTTAAAACACATATACTCATCCCCTTTCCGAAAGACTAACGGGACATACAAATTCTCTTTGCTGGACTAGGTGGGATTCCAACTAGTAATACTAGAAAGAGGCTTTAAAAAAAAAAATTTTTTTTTTTTTAAGATTCATTTATTTATTTGAGAGAGAGAAAGCACGAGAAGGGGATGGGGCAGAGGGAGAGAATATCCAAGCAGACTCCCGCTGAGTGTGGAGCCCGATTCTGGGCTGGATGCCATCAGCCATGAGATCAGGACCTGAGTTGAATCCAAGAGCTGACACACAACCAACTGAGCCACCCAGTCGCCCGTTTTTTTTCATGATTACTTAAAGCATTTCCACCCGCCCCCCCCTTTTTTTAAAAGATTTTATTTATTTATTTGACAGAGAGAGATCACAAGTAGACAGAGAGGCAGGCAGAGGGAGAGGGAGACGCAGGCTTCCCACTGAGCATAGAGCCCGACGTGGGACTCGATCCCAGGACTCTGGGATCATGACCTGAGCCAAAGGCAGATGCTTAACGACTGAGCCACCCAGGCGCCCCCATTTTTCCTCTTTTTAATTGAAAAGTACTCTTCCTTCCTTTTTACCTGCCTTGTTGTTTTTTTTTTAAGATTTTATTTATTTATTTGACAGAGATCACAAGTAGGCAGAGAGGTAGGCAGAGAGAGAGGAGGAAGCAGGCCCCCCGGTGGAGCAGAGAGCCCGATGTGGGGCTTGATTCCAGGGATCATGACCTGAGCCAAAGGCAGAGGTTTTAACCCACTGAGCCACCCAGGCGCCCCTACCTGCCTTGTTTTGAAAGGAATTTAAGGCTGATTAGAAACAGTCTGTACTACCACACACAAAAAAAGATAGGTGAGGAAATTAGCATACTTCTTTACAGAATAGAAAATATATAACATATATTATATATATTCCACTTATATATATATTCATGTACATGAATTAGAGATATTTATCTGATTAATTTATCCTGTCCCTTCTTACCATTGCGCCCCTTTCTGTCCTGATTTCAGTTGCCTTTGCTATCTTTCCCATTTTAATTTTTGCTATATAGTGTATTTCCTAGTATTAATTTTTGAAAAATTTCAAACCTTGAGAAAATTTATAATAGTATAATACTCATATGTCAGCATCTGAAACAAATACAACATTGTGTGCCAAGTATACTTCAAGAAAAATATAAATAAAAAATAAGAGATCATGTTAGTTCTGGAAAAAAAAATACTCATATATTACTCACCTAGATTCACCAATTGTTATCGGTTAGTTTTCTTTCAGTATAGGTGTGCGTATAATATGTATTATATACTATGTATAATTTACAAAATAAATGTATGTAATATATAAATTTATATTTTACATAAGTTTATATATTATTATATTATATATTATATACATACACACACCCCTAAATTAAAAAAATAGCAATAGATGAATCTAAGTAAATAATATGAGTATCAATTACACTATTTTTGTAAATTTTCATAAAGTTTGAAAATTTGCAAAATAAAATATGATAGATATATGTGTATATAGACATATGTATATATATATATATATATATATATATATATATACACACACACACACACACACACACACACACACAAATAATAGTTTTTAGTTTTTGGCTGAGCAGAATCATGATACCTCATGCCTAGATACTTCAACTTGAGCTTCCTAACATGGACATGGACATTGTCCTACAAAACCAATCACAGCCAGGAGATTTAAGCTTGATATTATCTAAGAAGTCCATAATTACCTCAGTCACCTCAATAATATCCTTTACAGCTGCTCCCTTTCCCCTTCCACAATGTATTTAACTATAGTGTCTTTTTAGTTTCCTTCAATTCACAATAGTTCCCTAGTCTTTTCATGTAAGTATTTGCCTTTCTTCCTATTTATATTTTTGAAGACTCCAGACCAGTTGCTTTGGAAAACGTCCCTCAGTTTGGGTTTGCCCCAATATTCCTTTAATGATCTTCCTGACTTTAGTCTTTCTCCTTGCCAATCATTTTCTACAAAGTTATTAGAGTTAGTAAAAAAAAAAAAAAAAAAGGATCCTGATAATTCCCTTGCTTAAAAGTATTTGAAGATTCCTTTTCATTCTCTGGATAAACTAAATTCCTTCGTACCTTTCAAAGATCATCACAATTTAGTCTGATGGCCCTTTGCAGCCTCATCTCTACTAGTGATTAGTGGTTTGTACTTCAGGTATACCAAACACTGAATACTTTCTACAGTATAGTTATCAGGCTCAGGCTCTCCCTCTGCTTGGGGTATCCTCTTTCAAGTCAACTTATATAGCTTCAAGATGCTGTTACTTGGGGCACCTGGGTGGCTCAGTGGGTTAAAGCCTCTGCCTTCGGCTCAGGTCATGATCCCAGGGTCCTGGGATCGAGCCCCGCGTCGGGCTATCTGCTCTGCAGGGAGCCTGCTTCCTCTTCTCTCTCTGCCTGCCTCTCTGCCTACTTGTGATCTCTGTCTGTCAAATAAATAAGTAAAATCTTAAAAAAAAAAAAAGATGCTGTTACTTTTTCTCACAGATATTTGTTGAATGCTGATAATCCACCATGGTAGGTAGGTGTGGTAGGTTTTGGGATACAATTTGAAACAAGGCCAACATAGTTTCTGTCCTTATGGAATTTATGCTGATTAAAAATGTCATACCTTTTGTGCTTCTATAGCACTTTATAAACACTCTTATTATAACATTTACTGTATTGCATTGTAATTTTTGTTTGCATGTTTGTCACCCAGCTAGACTATGGACTTTTCAAGGTTAAGATTAATTTTATTCATCTTTGTTTTCCCGGAACCAAGAGTGTAGCAGGCATTAAATAATTTTCATTCAATAAATGAATGAAATAAATCATTCCTGCTAAGTGTTAGCAAGGAGTCTCTTTTTTAGTTCAGGAATATGCTTTACTACAATTATATTTTGTAAAATCTCTTAATGAGGGAGGTTTTTAGTTCTTCAAATCATTCCACACCTTCATATGGTTAAAGGATGGCTCCAAAACTATTTCCAGTGGGAAGATGCAACAAATAATAGAGTAAGAACTCAGTTGCTCTGCTGCTTCTATTAAAACTCCACCCAGTGACGGGAGAAGTGCTTTTGGTCAGGGGGTACTTCCAAAACTGTGACAGCAACGAAAATAACAATTGCATTTCATTACCCTCTTCCTAAAACACATTTTAATGTAGGTTCCTATACTTTCCCATAAACAGCTTTCAGTCAATTAATCAATTTCCATTACTAGTTCAATTCATTACTCTTGAACATTCATAGGGCTATTTCTGGTACTTGATTGTATTTAATTTTGTTTTACGCAGCACAACGCTGCTTTTTTAATTCCTGCCTTGTTTCTCTGACGTGACTGCAGCTTGCTAAAACGTAGTCCAACACAGCATTAGGCACAAGTAAACAGGGCACACTTAAAAAATTGACACTGTCACAAAAAGTCCCGGGATATTAAGAGCATATCAAGGAACAAAGTAATACTGCCTGTCAAACTTTAACGTGCATAAGAATCACTGGGAGGGGCGCCTGGGTGGCTCAGTGGGTTAAGCCTTTGCCTTCGGACCAGGTCATGATCTCAGGGTCTTGGAATCGAGCCCACAACGGGCTCTCTGCTCAGCAGGGAGCCTGCTTCCCTCTTTCTCTCTGCCTGCCTCTCTGCCTACTTGTGATCTCTGTCTGTCAAATAAATAAAATCTTAAAAAAAAAAAAAAAGATCACTGGGGGTGGGAGATCTTGTTAAAATTCATATTCTGATTCAGTGGGTCTGGGTGGAGCCCAATAATTTGCATTGTTAACAAGCGCCCAAGTGATGCAGATGCTGTTGGTCCCCCGACAACACTGAATAGCAAAGATCTAAAGGAATGTGCAAAAGGAAGGCAGATGCTTTGATCCAAAACGTATTCTGCAGAGCGTTAATTAAATATAAAAGTGTGGTTAGGGTGGAGCCAGGGCGAGCACTTCTTACCGAACCTCAAACCTCCTCCTCCCAGTCTCATCTCCCCGAGTCCAGCCAAAGTCCCCACCTCCATAAATCTTAAGAACACAGGCAGCAACAGGCCCAGCTGCTGAAGACGCGAGCCCAGGTAACACAAGGGAGATTCTCCCTGCACTCACAAGTCTAAGAGCCCGGGATCAGATGGAATCCGGGTAGTGGCCTCTCCTTCTCCTTAAAGAAAGATTCAAAATTAAAACCTTATCATGGAGGGACCAATCGTAGCAAAGGTCTCTCCACGATTCGCTGTCTGGGTAGTGTAGGAGCACAGTCTGGTTTGTGATTGGTTAAAAGGTCACCACGCACTGGCCAATGAGAGCTGAGGCGCTTCTGGTATGAATAAGTGGAAGGCGGGAGCCATGGGGAGGGGAAGCAGGAGACCTAAGAAGGTGTGTCACGTCCCTTTTGCTGTTTGTGGAAGCTTTTGTGTAATTGGTGGGTTCTTCTTCCGATTATACCAATCGCAAGCTCTTCTCTGCGGAGCCTTAACTAAGAAATTGAAAGTGGAGATGAGGGTGCAGCCAATGGAAAAAAAAAAGTGCACAGCAGCCAATCCTCCTGCAGCGTTTTGTGTCTTTGCCCAACTGGAGAAAGTGTTTCATGTGGAGGGGCGTTACCCAGTCGCCAATGGGCGGGCGCCAGTGAAGCGGAGGAACCAATGAGTGTGAGACGTTGAGTGACAGCTGTCCAATAGAGATCCTCAGTGCTAGTACAGATTGCTGCTTAAGCACCGCGGCGGTCTGAGGAATGTCAACTATTCAACATGGAGGCGGAGGTCGATAAGCTGGAACTGATGGTGAGTGTGAAGTGAAGGAGATCTGCTGGGTAGTTTATTTCTCCCGGATGGTCTCCAAGGTGGGATGCAATTTTGAGTCGCCGGAAACAATGGGCGGCAGAAGCTGGACCATATTCGAGTTCCCTCCTCTTGAATCAAAGGGAGTCGCCGCCGCCTGGTCTCTTTTAACCGCCGCGGAGGAAGGGGTTACATCCGGGAAACTCGTGAGGGAAATGGCGGGAGATGCTGATGTAGCCGGGCCTTTGGAATTCCTTGTTCCTTGCCTTTACCTTTCCGCCCGCCAAGGAGCTGTGGCTCCTAAAGACAGCGTTCTATGCATTTACCCCTCAAAGACGTGACTGGAATGATCCCTAAACGCCCCCTTGGAGGGGAGAGGTCGTTCACACTGCAAGAAATGGGGATGGAGGGTGGGGTGGGGAATAAACCGAGGGGGGCGGAGAGAAATCCCATAAGGGCAGAGCGGTTCACGTTCTCCAAGGCGGGCTGAGAAAGTCTGAGAAGGGTTTTGACTTGCGTGCAGAACTTCCTGGCGGCCAAGGGAAGCCCCAAGACCCAATTTCTGTTTGGCTTGAAGGCAATCCTTGAGTCGGGGAGAGGTGTGAGCGATGGGGATCTGAACCTCTATCTCCTTTCTCGACGCACGGGAGGAATTGGGACCTAGAAGGCACTCTGCTCTGGAGTTGCCGAATTTCATTCATTTATGAAAGTAGGGGGCGGGGGCGAATAATTGGAAAGGACTCCCGCTGCTGCTTGGCCTGCTCGGAGGCGCCAAGCTAAAGGGATGTCCTAGTTTTCTTCTATGGATCCTTCCCTCACTTGTCCTCTTTATTCCCTTCCTCCCATTCTTAGACTACCAGCTTGATCGCCCGCGCTTTTTTCTTCTTAGTTCCCCTTGTTCTATCTCCAGTCCTTTGCCCCCTGCATTACCGCGTGTGAATTGGGCTGGCTTTCTTTAAAATGTGGAATTTGGAGGACGCGCCCATCATTTAATTCCTGTCGGTTTTTTGTTAAAGGAAAATAACAAAATTAAGTAAAAAAGCCCAACTCTTTCTTTTCTGTCGCAATCCGCCGTCCTCCCCCTACAATACTCTGGCTTTACAACTTAGATATCATTTGTTCCAGTGCTGCCTTCTCCAAGCTGAACCTTGGGGTCACTTCAACATCAGCACTTGTAGTGATCCTGGAAGAAACTGAGTACCACACTCACCCCCATTCCCACCTCCAGAAAATGTGAGAGTTTCATATACCTTATTATTTTCTTCTGACTTATTAATGAATTAAAGTTCCTCTCAAATACAAATTTGACTAGAAGGCTTTCAGTTGATTCTGACAATTTTGAGTTTTAATTTTCTTTGTGGGAGTCTGTGGGGAATGGCGTGGGGCGGGATGGCAGTGAAGAAGGAAGAATTTTCTGTTGCTTTACAAACAAACCTGTGAAAATGAACTTTTAGTTTAAAGTTTTGTTATTTTTATCATTCATTAATCAAACAGAAGAACCCAAAACATGTCAAGTATCCTAGTTTGATTCTGTTAACAGGCATAAATTAACACGGTCTTGCCCTTTACCCCATTCTGAATTCCTCTCTCTGAATGGATATTTCTGCCTTAAGTTTAAGATGCTAAATGGTACTAATTCTGCTTTTAACTGTTTTTCTCCCCCCTCAAGTTGGCTGTTTACTTTTGAGGTACCAATTAAGCCTTTTCTTGGACTTTGCATGAGAGTCAGAATTCTCACAGGATTTTTTTTTTTTTTAGGTTGAACACATTTTAATTTAAGAAAAAAATGATTAAGTATACATCTTGAAAAAAGGTTTTAGAAAATTGTCAGATAGCCATACTCTTAAACTTTTAGGTGTTTGAATGATGGGGTAGTTACAAAAAAATTCTTTGTAAGAGATGAAGAGAAAAAAGCAGGTTTTTAAAAATTACTTGCTGATAACCTAGTGGTACCCCCCCCTTCAAGTTATTAGTTGTTATTAGTTTGTTTCCATATTCATCAGGGTTTAAAAAATGTATTTGAATGATTATAGTTTTGTTACAGAATTAACAAAGCTTTCTTTTGATTGGATAGTAAAAGGTGGTGTATCTCATCTTCAGATTTGCCATGTGCTTTAAAATGTTTTATTTATGAACTGGTTTAGTTTCTTAGATTGGAAAGAAATGATTTCCTATCCAATCCTCTGAGTTTTGGTTCTGCATTACTTTGAATAAAGGATTTGTTGAGGAACTAATGTTGAAAATTTAATAAATGAAAGAGAATGCATACTATTTAACTTTGAAAAGAAAGTATTCTCACTTTTCAGAAAGCCTGGTCCTCTTATTTTAAAAATATTTCATATTTTTCTTGTTTGAATTAACTTCCAATTCAGAAAATTAAATATCTGTCTCTGAAGTACTTGTCTTTAAAACCTGATCCTTGGCTGGCAGAGTTGAGCTATTCTAATACCTGAGTTATGTGGCCTTAGGATTTGAGATCAAGTCACCCATGTTCCAGCTGTCCTGTATTTGAGTTTATTTTTTAGGAGGTTGAATCTAAATAGCTGAACTAGACTATTTAAAGTTTCGTATAAATAATGGAAAGTGTTTTTGCAGTCAACATTATTAATGGGGGAATAAGCTCATTGTAGGGTAATCTTTGTTCTCTAACTTTTTTCCTTTTCACTTACTGGTTGAGTGGTATTTGTCCAGTGTTCTTTTGTGGTACCACTAGTGATTGTGCAAAAGTATAATGTGATACTATGATACTATTTCTATTTCTGGGTTTATATCAGATTTCTAAATGATTTCTTACCAGTTAAAAGGTTGGGATAATGATAATTAGCTTGAATCTAAGAAAACCTGATTTCTAAATCTCAGAACCTCCTCCTGTACCATTATTATTTCCTTCTTGATGTTTGTACGTTTGAAGAAAATGGAGATGATTTCCTCTTATGTTTAAGATCTTTAGGGGCTAACTGAAAATTTAAAATCCCCTTCCATAGTATTCCCTTAGGTAGGGTCTTGTTTAGGACTCCTTAATTCCTTGAGAACCTGTAAATTTTTGAGACAAAAAGCCGTAAGATAGTTAAGAGCTTTTTAGAGTTTGGTGTATTTATTTTATTTTATTTTTTTAAAGATTTTTTATTTATTTATTTGACAGACAGAGATCACAAGTAGGCAGAGAGGCAGGCAGAGAGAGGAGGAAGCAGGCTCCCTGCTGAGCAGAGAGCCCCGATGCCGGCCTCTCTTTCAGGACCCTGAGACCATGACCCGAGCCGAAGGCAGAGGCTTTAACCCACTGAGCCACCCAGGCGCCCCTATTTATTTTATTTTATGTTTTAAAAGATTTTATTTATTTATTTGACACAGAGAGAGCATAAGCAGGGGAAGAAACAGGCTCTCCATTGAGCAGGGAGCCTGATGTGGAATGTAGGGCTCAATCCCAGGACTCTGGGATCCAGTTTAGTGTAGTTTAGATTCCAGAAAGATAGATTGGGTATTTAGAGATGGGAAACTTATTTTACTTTTCATTTGTTTTCTCTGATTTTCTTACTTAATTGATCATTTGCAATGGGGGAGCTAATCAACACATCTCAGCAAAACAAATATTTTTCACAATTTTGCCTTAGTAGTAATTATAACTGGTTTTGTTAATACTAGTCTTAAGGTATTAACAAAACCCATATTAATAACTTCTGAAGCTTAGGATGTACTTACAGAAATCCTTTCTATGTGTTTTTGTTAAATATTAATCATAAGTTAGTCATCAGAAAACTATTATTTTGATATTTAAGTTCAATTCTTTCTTTTTAACATTGATATACATGTTCTTAGGTTTTGGTTGTCTTCTGTCCAAAATGGTAGCCCTTTAAATGCTTTTCACACTGACGCTTCAGCTGATGCAAGATGCTTTTGTTTTCCTTTACTATCAATATCTGCTAACGAATGCTCTGACTTTATTGCACTACTGTACTTTACAGCTAGCAGTGCAATAGTATTGTCAAAGCATCTGAAAGCAGAATGCACACCAGAATTTTGATTCTTGCCTTACATCTTTCTTCAGTATCTGTGAGTAATTTACCACAATCTTTGTTGCTGAAAGTGTTTAATTTGATTACCCTAAGTATATGTTTCAGGAAGTCATAATTTGAAAAAAAGCTCACTATCGTAATTAATGCACTATGAAACACATTGAGGTAACATTTTTTATACCTGAAGTTGTTATGACTTGTTTAAATGAGTAGTTGGATTTTTCTTCTTTCTGTAACAGATTTGGATAGGTTCTGGCATGTGTTGGGTTATCTTTGAGTTTTAAGGTGAATTAGTAAGTAATGAAAACAATCTCTGCTGTATATTTTATATGATAACTTGCCCCAAATCTTAATTGGTGTTAATTATGTGTGCTATGTAGTTTATGCTTGAATTTCAAACTTAAGAGTGCTTGTTTTAAAGTTCTTTTTTGTAATAATGAGATAGAATAAAGTGCGAATCCATTACTTCTTTTGTAATCAGTTTTTAGATATAATTTGCATACAAAAAATGTACCAATTTTAGTTGTACAATCTGATGAGTTTTGACAAGTGTGGACAATCATGTAACCACCCCCACAGACATGGTATAGAACATTTCCATCACCTCTTGTTCCCTTATGCCCCTTTGCAGTCAGCCTCCTCCTCCCAAGCTCCCTGACAATCATTGATCTCTAGTTTTGCCATTTCTAGAAGGTAATATAAATGGAATCATTTATAGCTTGCAGTTTTTTGTGCCTGACTTCTTACACTTGGCACAATGCTTTTGAGATTCATCTGTGTTGTTGTACTTAGGAGTAGTTGGACCATTTTTATTGTTGAGTAGTATTTCATTGGTATAGACTATCACAAACTATTTATCCATTTACCAGATTGTGAACTCTGGGTTGTTTCCAGGTTCTGCTTATTATGAATAAAGATGTTATAAACATTGTAGTGTACCTCTTTGTTTGGACACAATGTTTTTGTTTCTCTTGGGTAACATGATAAAAATGTATGCATCATCTCATAAAAGAACCACTGAAATATTTACCAAAGCTATGATTTAGGGTTCCAGTTTCTCCATATCCTTACCAACATTTGTATTTGTATTGGTATTGCCAGTCTTCTTCTTTTTCTTTCTTTCTTTTTTTTTTTTAAAGATTTATTTATTTTAGAGAGAGAGCGAGCACCTGTAGGAGGGGGAGAGGAAGAGAGAGAATCCCAAGCTGACTCCACACCGGGCACAGAATCCAATGTGGGGCTCAATCTCATGACCCATGAGATCATGACCTGAGCCAAAACCAAGAGTCATTCAACCATGTCAGTCTTCTTCATTTTAGCTATTCTAATAGTTGTATAATGGTATCTGCTTATAGCTTGAATTTGCATTTCCTTAATGGCTAATGATATTGACTATCTTTTCATGTGCTTATTTGCACTTGGAATATCTTCTTTAGTGAATATCTGTTGAAATCTTTTGCCTATTTTCAAATTGAGATATTTGTCTTTTTTTTTTTTTAAAGATTTTATTTATTTATTTGTCAGAGACAGAGGGAGAGAGAGTGAGCGAGCACAGGCAGACAGAGAGGCAGGCAGAGGCAGAGGGAGAAGCAGGCTCCCTGCCGAGCAAGGAGCCCGATGTGGGACTCGATCCCAGGACGCTGGGATCATGACCTGAGCCGAAGGCAGCTGCTTAACCAACTGAGCTACCCAGGTGTCCCTTGTCTTTTTTTTTTTTTTAAGATTTTATTTATTTAAGAGAGAGAGTGCTCACCCATGAGCAGGGCAAAGTGGCAGAAGCAGGCTCCCTGATGAGCAGGGAGCCCCATGCGGGGCTCGATTCCAGGACTCTGGGATTATGACCTGAGCAGAAGTCAGCCGCTTCACCAACTGGGTCACGTAGGTGCTTCTGAGATGTTTGTCTTTTTAACTATTTTTAAGAGTCCTTTAATTTTTTTCTGTTATTGCCCTCTCACATAAAAATTTTTGATGAAGTCCAGTTTATGCATCTATTCTGCTATGGATTATGCTTTTTGTGTGTGGTTTTGTTTTGTTTTGAGATTTATTTATTTATTTATTTATTTGACGGAGAGATAGAGAGTACAAGTAGGCAGAGCAGCAGGCAGAGGAAGAGGGAGAAGCAGGTTCCCCGCCAAGCAGGGAGCCCGATGGAAGGCTCAATCCGAGGACCCTGGGATCATGATCTGACTGGAAGGCAGCCGCTCAACCGAACTGAGCCAC